CCACCTTTTGTAATGATAAGAAAAATAAAAAAATTGTTTATCGAGCACTTTTCAATTCAAGTTAGTGCTTCATGCAAGGCTGTGAATTAATCAAAATAGTCATTAGGTGCTATGGCAAAACAGAACATTTCCTTTGTCCAGCTATAAACTGCATTTTATACCCGATTTATTTTATGCTTCTTCCTGGCCTGGTCTCTTTTTAAAGTGTGAAGTGTTTCTCTTGGCTCTCTGTGTGACAGGGTTATCAGCATGGAAGAGAGTGAAGTGAAGGGAGCAGCTGGCATGACTTGGTGCCTATTCAGAAATGGCCCATTTGTATTCTGCTTGTAATGTTTGTTAAAGCTTGGCCTTATGCAAACTGCATCTTTAGACACAGGTGTGTCACTGTGGAAGACAACCTGCAACTTAATGTAGAGCTTTAATGGCTGGTATGAAGTGAAAAGTCAGAGGTGTGTCTCTGCCCTCGGTGGTTAAAAGTTTAAAGCCTTTTTCAGCCAGAGCCGCACCCGGCAGCAATGATTGGTGTGGGTGTTGGCGAGAAGGATTCCTGAGAGAATACCAGGATAAGGGCGAGGTCAGAGTGGCAGCTGATTAAATATGTAGCTGACATGTTGTAATAACAACTGGAGCCTCCTGACTTTTGCACCTTATTGTTACAAGCACCCTCCTTCAAAACTTGGACTACCTGATTTACAACAAAAGGCTTTCTGCTTTTATCATCAAAGTTTAGCTGGAAACTAAGGTTAACACCTGAAACTGGTCATTTTCTGTATGAGTATTTTCAACAGTCCACATACAGAGACTAAAACCGACAATGATTTGCCTCTACTCACGGTTAATGTCCGTCAGTGTGTCAGTCCTGGATCAGCTCTAAATCCTCTTCAGTCTTTAGCTGTATGCTGCTATCAGGTGTTTAAGAAGTGAGGTTGTTGAGTCCTTCACTGCACATCCTCCCTCTCTAACTTTGCTAACCCATTATACCCATACTCTCTTCTTCTTTTTCTTTCCTTTGAATTAAAACCCACCATCCCCTTATATCCCTATCCCTTCAATATTACACCATCAAACCTTTACCTCTTCCTCCATCCTTTTCATTTTACTCAGTGCTTCTTTCCAGTCTCCCCTCCTCCTCTTCCTTCCCGTCCTCCACCACTCCAGTGCATCACCATGTTAACCCTTGTCTCCGTCATCCTCCTTTCTTGTCCCCGTTCTCTCTGCCAGCAGGAGTACGAGGAAGAGGGCGACGAGGAGGAGGAGAGGACCAAGCGCTCTCGGAAGGACGGCATGCTCCGTCGCCCCGGAGACCGTTGGATGCTGCGGGGTCCCATTGAGTACGTCCCCCCTGCTACCGTGGACGTGGTGCTTAGACGAGAGGCCATCCCGCTGGATGAAAATGAGGGCATCTATGTCAGGGACATCAAAACTGGAAAGGTGTTGGTTACAAGGATGTGGTGTCAGCACATAGTTTTGTTAGACTCAGTGTTGGAGCCTCAAAATAATTTCCCTTAAGCATTAAACTGAGTTTAGCTTCATGTATTTCAGAACACAAACTTTAAAAACAGACAGAACTCCATGTTACTATAGCATTAGTTCTAACATCAGTGTGTCTTCTTGCTTCTCAGGTGCGCGCGGTGATTGGTCACACCTACATGCTGACTCAGGATGAGGAGCTGTGGCAGAAGGAGCTTCCTCCAAATGTCGAGGCCCTTCTGGCTTCTCCTATTGACCCACTAGCCAACCGCTCAGACCGGACATCGACTGCCCAGAGCGGGCCGAGGGATAAGACCCGGGTTGTCTCCTACAGGGTCCCCCACAATGCTGCTGTCCAGGTCTATGACTACAGAGAGAAGAAAGCCAGGTGGGTCTCAGGCTTCGTGTCCTGGTGGTGGGATGTGGAGGTTAAATCAACTAGCTGATGCAGTGGTGTTGCGCTCTTGTCTGTAGGGTGGTGTTTGGACCAGAGATGGTGATGCTGGGACCTGATGAGCAGTTCACTGTGCTGTCTCTGTCTGGAGACAAACCTAAGAGGGCCAATGTCATCAAGGCCATCTGCCTCCTGCTGGGACCCGACTTCTGTACCGACATCATCACCATCGAGACGGCTGACCATGCCCGACTGCAGCTGCAGCTCTCCTACAACTGGTAACTACAAGCCACATAGCAACAGACCAGAGAAGAGCTGGCTGTCATAACTATAAAAGATAAGGTGGTCAGACAGTAAAATATATATTACAGAATTTATTTAACTGCTGAAACATTACAGAAAGGAAGATGTACTCTAAGCTCCCCCCGACATAACAGTGTCCCACCTAAGGAGTTTGCCCCCCAGTTTGGGAACCACTGCTTAATTATTTCCCTCACTTGCATCTTACTTGTTTTTATTCCTGTCCATGTAAGATGGTAGGAAAAGCTACAAGAAGAAAATACGATGAGAGAAGAATCGAGGAAACGTTTTTAGACACGAGACGTGCTTTCCTCCGATCCTTCATCTGAAGCATCCAGTCACAGATTCCTACTAAAGGGGTGTGTCAGTTCATAAAAGACTTCTGCAGAGGATGGTCTTGTGTGTCCTTGCACCTGAGAACCAGAATAAGCACTTTGGCACACCCTTTTGCACCAAAACAACTTCTGGGTTGAGTGAGGAACAATCAAATAAGGGAACTGGGATTGCCCTCTTGAGAAAAATGAATGGGACCTTTACTGCAGGAACTATCCCAAAGAACATTTTATAGAGACTAAATAAGACACACACTTACTTAGGAATCAGCTTTAGAAATTATTTTGCTGGTTACCCCTCCGGCATCCTGCAGCCAGCTGATGACGTGGCAAAAATGTTAGTCAAAGCTTTTAAATCATTGTTTGACTTAAATCAAATTCAGCAAAAGCCTTGAGTTATATAGCTGGAACGGGCATGTTTTTTAGTGAAGTCTGATATGGCACTCTACCTGCAATGAGAGTACATGTAGTGGGGCTTTTCACAGCAAGTTTGCGTGCAGGGGAAGTATTAAATTAGTGTTTCAAATGTAGAGGAGGTAAAATTTCAGTTTACAAACATGTACAGACCCCTTTGTCCAAACGGACAGTCTGCTTTCTTACGTCTCAATACGTTTTCTGATCTCATTAAATTTAACACCACTGACGTGGATTCCTCTTTGTCCCTTGTTTCTTTTCCGTCAGGCACTTTGAAGTCAAGACTCCACCAGACACTGCTGATGCAGCAGCTCTGTTTTCAGTTCCTGACTTTGTCGGAGACTCCTGTAAAGCCATCGCCTCCCGGGTCAGAGGAGCCGTTGCCTCTGTGCAGTTTGATGATTTCCACAAGGTTTGTATTTCACTGTCTTCCTGTCACTATCTTTCAGTTTTCTAAACAGAAAGGAGCAGAATAGTTTACCTTCTTTTGAAAGCAGTCTGCTGGTGCAGGCGACCCTGAGGTTTCAGTAACATCTGAAATTAAACGCTTCCTTTTAGCTTTAGTTGCTCTCCTTATATTCTGAAATACTGGTGGTTTTGCATGTACTTGATACTTAAACTTACTCAAAACAGTTTTGTAAATCATTCTATTTAAAGTTTAACTTTTTTTTGTCACATAATGGGAAAATGAATGGCCCCCAGTTTTGGCCTCTTGGATGACCAGTACCAGACATTTAAAGTCATCACTGCTGGCTCTGGGGATTTTGAACAATGTGATTTTGAATTTTATTTTATTTTACTTGCAACCATTTAAAGTAAACACTTTAAATTCAGACCTTTCTTCAAATTTTATTAAGGCATAAAACAAAGAATTTAAATATGTAAAATGTTCATTTGTTTCTGCAGAACTCGAACCGCATCATCTGTTCAGCCGTGTTTGGCTTCAATGAGAAGTTGGCGGTTCGTCCCACTCTGCACTTCCCCCAGAACAACTTGGTGATCAGCAGTGTGGACATCCAGTCTGTGGAGCCCGTCGACCAGAGGACACGAGACGCCTTGCAGAAAAGCGTCCAGCTCGCTATCGAAATCACCACCAACTCCCAGGAGGCTACTGCACGGTCTGAAACAAAACACATTAGTAGTAAAGTAGATACTTCTACAGGTAGTTAATTACAGCAGCAGATTGCATTCACCAAGGAAAAAGAGTATCTTCTCATAATTATGATTTACTATATTATAATTATGAAATCTTTTTCTGGTAAATAATGAGAATGCAGGGTTTGGAACGCTGCAGAACTTGCCTGAAAATCAAGTTTTAATGAGCACCTGCATTGTAACACACCACATCCATGGCCTACTTCCTGTTTCTTGTCAAAGTTTACGAAACACCAGACCTGAATATTTATTAAAAATGTTTTTACAGCATCTGAAGTACCCAGACTCAACTCTGCATGTGCGAGCTCTTGTTTATAGTCTACTAGCTCCTCACATTTTCGCAGAGATCTTGTGCATGTGCAACTGAGCCTTGCTACTTCAGACACTGTAAAAAGTCCTCGTTTGGAAGTATTCAGGTCTTATGTTTTGTAATCAGGAACTATGCTGCCCAGTGCAGTGGTATGTTTCACTTATGTTTTTAATCATTTCTGAACAACAACAGAGGTCTATGGCGCAGATGAAGATGTAGGGAGTAGAGACAATTCATCCTTGGTTTGTCTTTGTAGGGGGAGTGCTGAAAATACCAGCCTTATCCTTTACCCTGCAGTACAGAACAGCAAGATGTGTTGATTTAAAACCATAAGGGTGTATTTTTGAACTTCAGACAGAACAAGGCTAGGAGTTTCCCCCTGCTTCCAGTCTTCATGCTAAATTAACCACATCCTGACTCCAGCTGTGCACTTAACCACAGATCTGACCGATATTAGTTCAACTACTGCTTTAAGATAACCAATTACCTTTTTAAACATTTTGTTCCTGAACACATTGTAACTTCAGCTTCATGTGTGCAGGCACGAGGCAGAGCGACTGGAGCAGGAGGCTCGGGGAAAGCTGGAGAGGCAGAGGATCACTGACCAGGCCCAGGCTGAGAGAGCCAGGAAGGAGCTACTGGAGTTGGAGGCACTCAGGTAAACACGGGGTCACTGGCATCACAGGAAGGTGGGAGGGGTTTGTGTCTTTTGACCTAGAAGTAAATTTTCTTAAAAAAAAAAAAAAAAGGCATGCCTGATAATAGATCTTATAGACTGGGACCATGGTCAGCTGATTATACAAAACACTATGTCCAATTTAATAACTTAAAAGTGGATTTTGTGTTAAGTTATTCTTGCAGCTCTCTGACCTAGCCTCTGTGTGTTTCAGTGCTGCGGTGGAGAGCACAGGAGCTGCAAAGGCTGAAGCTCAGTCTCGGGCGGAAGCGGCTCGTATTCAGGGAGAAGCAGCCGTCAATGAGGCCAAACTGAAAGCTGAAGCTCAGAGGATCGAGGCGGTACGTTCTGGCATCCTATTTCTCTTCTCAATACAATGTCCAACCCACAAGTAATTCCAAATATTACATGACTAGTAAGCTACAGTACACAGTAGGGGTGTGATGAGATCGTGATATTAAAGCGTGACAGTATTTCTCCTCAAGGAGGAAGCTGTCTTGCAATATCAATACATAACAGAACAAGACCAGCAGCCGGGATGTTGGAGTGCGAGTGTGAAATTAACAAGGATACCCCCACCACTTTTTTTATGTTCAGTTAAAAGGTCATACATCACTGTTTTCCTATATACTGATATATTTGTGGTGGGCCACAACAACATCAACATTGACAGACACATTAACTTAAAGTTAAAATCTTACTTGTATGTAGTGCTGTGTGTAGCACACGTATTCGCTCCGGCAAATGAAATTAAATCCATTCAGATAGACTTGTATCAAACTGACACTGGCCTGTCTATCACCATCTATAGTTTAACAAAGTATTGAGGTCAAAGAGCCACTCGCTAGTTTTCAATAGCATCTCAGTGGGTACAGCCCGAGTCTTTCATAAATCCAAGTTTCCAGCATTTGTATCTTTTCCTCGTCTTAGTCCCACCCATGTAATATGCTAGAAAAAAAAATTCAGCGAGAGAGGAATCATGGAAACAAGTTTACAGAGACATGAGACTTCCTTTTCTTTGATCCTTCATCTGTATCATCCAGTTAAGTTTCAATAAAGGGGCGCATCAGTCCACAAAAGACTTCTATTGGCTGTAGGATGTGGTTTGGTGTCCAAACAGCACCTCGAGGCCAACAGTAATGTCACAGAGGTAAAATGATAGATGTCTAAACAAATGTGCATTTGTGTGCGTGTACAGGAGGCAGAGTTGCAGCGTCTGGCAAAGGCCCGTGAGCAGGAGCTGATCTATAAGAAGGACATGGACCGCCTGGAGGTGGAGAAGCAG